GCAATGGAGATTGCGTCATCTGTGGATCTGTTGGACCGGTAGGCAAACTGGTACGGGTCCACTGTGTTTGCTATGGTGTCCTTAATGTGCTTCATGATGACAGGTGTTAGTGCCACCGGTCGGTAGTCATTAAGACATGTCACTGTGGTTTTCTTTGGTATTGGGATGATGGTGGTTGTCTTGAAGCAGGTAAGGACTACGGCTTGGGCCAGAGACATGTTGAAAATGTCTGTGAATACACCCGCCAGTTGATTGGCGCAGGCTCTGAGGACGCGACTGGGTATGCCGTCGGGTCCTGCAGCCTTGCGTGTGTTCACTTTAATACCATTGTTAAAATTGATCCTGGCTGACCTTAGTTCTGATTTATTGCCCGATTTGAATGCTGCATCCCTTGCTTTGATTAGGGTGCGAACCTCACTGTTCATCCATGGTTTCTGGTTAGGAAAGGTTCTTATTTCTTTTGTGAGTTTGACATCGTCAGCACATTTCCTGATGTAGCTAGTGACTGACGATGCATATTCCTGTATGTCGGTGTATGATCCCTGTGTGGCTGCCTCTTTAAACACATTCCAGTCAGTGCATTCAAAACAGTACTGCAGGACCGATTCAGCTCCTTCAGGCCACACTTTCACTGTCCGGAGTGCTGGTTTCACGTGCCTGTGCAGCTGTTTGTATGCCGGGAGGAGAAACAGAGTGTTGTGGTCTGAGTTTCCACAGTGGGGGAGGGGTACTGCCGTGTAAGCGTTCTGAATCTTGGTGTAAACATGGTCCAGAGTGTTTTCTCCTCTCGTTGGGAAGGAGACATGCTGATGGTATTTTGGGAGAACGGATTTGAGATTTGTTTTATTGAAGTCACCCTCGATGATAAAGGTTGCGTCGGGATGTGCAGATTCCTGTTTGTTTATTGCAGTATGCAGTACCTCTAGCGCTTCTTTGCCATTAGCGTTAGGGGGGATCTGGCATCCTTGTTTTCAGAGTATCGAGGATGCAGGATTCCTAATGGGACATCATGGTCACCAAAATGGCTCTCGGAAAGTACTTCTGCACTTCATCCTGTTGATGACACAAAATGAGAACAAGAGGAGGCACTTTGGAACTCCTTTTCTACAGTAAATGTTATTTGGATAATATACCCCTTTATCCTCTGAGGCTATAATTATTTTTAATGCTTGTTATACACACAGTAAGCACTTGAAGTTTAACAATTAAAGCTGCAGACATACTGTACAATGAATATTATTAAACACCTGAACTTTAACTGTGTCTGTTCTGTGTCTTGAATTTATTCTTTTGACATTAGCACTAGGATGCACCTGTTGTCAATAAACTTTGGAGGTTAGTTAAAGATGAAATAGTGTACCATAGTTTAGCAAACACTATTTCTTTTCACATTATAATTTAGTGAATAAGATACATGGTGCCAGTTCTTACATCTTAAAATGAAACCTCAAAAAATGGAGGCATAATGTAAATGCTCAGTGACAATATAAATGTGTAAAAGCAATCAACAAATTCTGCAATTTACAGCAATGTAGCAATTTGTTATTTCAAAAATGCACTTAAACACTGATGAGTTGCTCCAATATTCAGTAGGTGAAACACCATTAAAAGCGGATCTTGTGGGTGCATTACTGAATTTACAGTTTTGGCTCATAGAAACTGACAGGTTGTAAAAATAGTTGTAAAAAATCTAGTTCCAGAGCCAGGAAATTTGTGTTATCGAAAATGACATGAATAGATAAATTATATATACTGTATTTATTGCTATTACTCCATTTTAAAAGGAATTCATGA